AAGAAAGAAAGAAAGAAAGAAAGAAAGAAAGAAAGAAAGAAAGAAAGAAAGAAAGAAAGAAAGAAAGAAAGAAAGAAAGAAAGAAAGAAATTAAAATTACGGTGGGATTGAACGTTTTGTTTATTATATTAACAATCACGTGAAACAGTGACGGGGGGGCGCTCCTCTCGGACCAAGCTGGTAATGACGGAGCGTGTTGTGTGTCTGTGTGTAGAGCCGGTGTTTGCAGACAGTGGCAAAGAGGAGACGGGAGCAGCTCAACATTATCTCAGGCTATGAGACATAAAATAACTTTAAAGCTGCTGAGTTTTTGATTTAAAAAACTGTGAGATTTTCATCTGTTTTCATGACGCAAATGAGGACATTTTGTGTAATTTACAGACAATCAGTACAAGGTGACAACATTAGTGTGTTGAAAGTGAACTTATTTTAGGATTTTCACAGTCTTATCTTGACATTTCTCCGACAATATTCTTGAACATGAAATCCGAGGCAGTGATCGGTCCATGCCCAGGTTTTTTTCTAACAACGTCATCCAGGATCAGCTTTGTGGCACAGCCAGGTGTCACAAATCAGCTCTAAGACTGACACTTAAGAATTACTGTACTCCTACACTTCACTTAAAGTAAGACTGAGATGCTTGATAACTGACTTTTATTCTCAGCTTTTAACTAAGAATTTTTTTACACTTTAAGTACACTTTTAGCAGCATTCTTAAGAGTAATTCCAAGAAGTTTTATAAATATGGGCCCAGATCTATCTTTGATTGAAAACGTGTGGCTCATTATGAAGCATGAAATACAACAACTGAGACGCCGGACTGTTGAGCAACTGAAGTTGTACATCGAGAAAGAATGGGAAAGAATTCCACCTACAAAGTTTCAACAATTAGTGTCCTCAGTTCCGTGTTGTTAACAGGAAATGTGATGTAACACAGTGGTAAACATGCTCCTGTCCCAGCTTTTTTTAATGTGTTGCAGGTATCAAATTTAAATTGCGTAAATATTTTCAAAAGAAAACAAAGTTCATCCATTTGAACATTAAATATCTTGTCTTTGTAGTGTATTCAATTGAATATAGGTTGACAAGAATTTCTATATGATTGTATTCTGTTTTTATTTATGTTTTATACGATGTTCCAACTTCCTTAGAATTGGGGTTGTAATAAAAAAAAGCTCGCCTACTTTGGACTAAAATCAAAATCTATTTTATGAATTACAATTAGCTGCCTTTTTTTCATGCAGTGCACACAAAAAAAAGAAGAGGAACTGCCTCTTAACACTGTGTTTGTAAAAACTATCAAAAGGTTTGTTCTAAAAGCACCACATGTTGCTTCAAGGAACTTGTAGAACATTTCAGAGCAAAATCTTCCACCAGGCTCTGAGGCAAATTAATTAATCATTGATTAATTAAATTAATAATTGATTAATGATTCATTTCTTTGTTTGAATTATTTATATTTTGTTTTAGAGAGCAGAATAAACTGACTACATCTGGGAATTTCCTATACACTCTCATGTTCAAGAAAATGATTACATAAGAATGTAATATTACAGCGA